AGGATTCGAACATAACACAACTTTTGGTCTCCTGAAGAGTTTTTCAACATCTTTTTTACTCCATCTTTTACTATGTTTACCTTTCAGCCCTAATTGTTCTGGAATTTCATTCATTACACCCATAATCAGGAGATAATTTGGTTATCTGTTACTTGTCATTGTGGGAGGTCTATAAAAATCGGTACGACAAGATTTTCAAAATAGAACATGTCCTAAGCAAAACACGGCAGTTCATACATTCACCTTCAAAATAGCTAAATATACTTTTCAGTTTTCATCCGTTATCTGTTTCAATATCATATAACAAATGGATGTTTTATGTCAAATGCTTTCGATATGGTCTTTACTTTTAGTTCATTGATAAAGTTACTTTATAATTGCTACGTAGATTAAACTTAACGGCTTTGAATATGCAACTTAAATGTCAGAACTACTAGTATGTATACTAACCTACGGTGGCATAAAGGTGACATGTGTATGTTTTTATTTATCTCGTGCGCACGAGATACTATGTCGTGACCACTAGTTACTAAGTCGTGGCCACGAGATAGTTAAGTCGTGGGAACGAGATAAGTAAAAACACACATATCACCTTTGTGCCACCGTACTAACCTGTTAGGGCTTACAAAAATGATTGTTGAATCTAAATTTAACTTCAATCAAATTAATGACATATTAATTAAATAAAGACTTACTAGCCTTAGCGTATGCTCAAAAGCTCCGTATTGGCATAAATTATGACTGCAGTTAAAGCATCAAGGTTTGTGTAACAAATGTCGACTTTTAACTCGGCAATCTCCGTTAAGTTCGCGAATTCTTGAAGTCGCCCGAGGTGTTCCGATTTCCCAAGAAAGATTCAGATATTGACCAAACAACTTTTTATGGACGAGAATCGAACTATGTCGCCGAAATTTATGCATGAACGTTGTTCCTATACCATTTGAAAACGTGATTTGACTAACCAGTAAGATGTGTATACCTCCCGCCATCCGCCCCTTCTCAAATGTACGCAACTTTTCAATTAAGCTCTTCTAACGGTCATAGGATCAAGGCCGGTGCTTTGGGGAACTTCTACATTAAGTTATATCATAATAATGAACAGTCTTTTTGTGGGAAGGGCCAATATGATTAAACTAAACTAAACTAATACTTTTTTAAGCAAACGTAAATTTTGTTTCTACTAAACCTAAAACAGTATGACTCCACCAGCGTTTTGCATTATTATAAAGCAATGACTTTTTGTATAGTTCATAAATTTAACAACTTCAGTGCTTGGCCATATTTTTATTTTATTTTACTGTACATTATTATTCATATAATTTAGTCTTTAGTAATACTAATCTATAAATCTATAGCATATCATCTGTGCTTGAAATATAAATAAAGCTCGGGGTGAATACATTCGTGATCACAAGTGCAAGTAGATTCTCCGATAAACTCACGTTTTTGAGATTTATTTAGGAAAATGGCGGACACGTCCAGCACGTGAGTTTCAAATCTTTTTGTGTTAAGTATCTTTCACGTGTATCACGTGGTTTGTTGTTGTTGTTATTTTATTTATTCATTTTTATTTTGAAATGGTAAATGCAAAGTAATTTAGTTTGTATGCAACGATTCTTTGTAGCGTGTATTCATGCCTGCAATAATTGTAAGATCTTTTATTTATAATCATTCCAATAAAACCAACGCCTTTATTTAGCTTTCGACGTTTTGTCTTTTATTTTCAGAAAAAAATGACGTTAAACGATAAAAGTTAAGATCTGATTTCATTTTTCTCTGCGTTGATGATAATCACTTCTGTTACAAGTCTTAAAGACGCATTATGACCCATAATTGCTTTTATTTTTATTTCTCGAAAGCCTTTTATTTTTGTTGTACTTTTATAGCTTCCAAAAACTTACTTATTGAGCAATTACCTGAACCATCTTTTTCTTCTGTTACATACTGGCAGTTATAGTGAAATAATATTTTGTATGGAAGTCAAAATACCACTCAGTTTACATTTTGCTGCTTTTATGACAAATAAATTGAAATGAAGCACTTCTTTCTTAAAATAACAAGCAAATATATAACATCTCCAAAAAATTATATAAACGTTTATATATCGCACTCAAGTTTGTCATTTCAGATGAAGATAGAAATTACTCATTTCCGAGGCATAATGTGCCTTTAAATGCACCCGTGCTACAATTTTACCAAATGTGGTTTATTTGTACATGTATATATGATTTGATCAGAGTCCTATCTTTGTTATTATTCATAATAGGGTAGATATATATCCTAACGAAAAAATGTGGGGATAATGTAAGCATAATGTGAGCATAATGTGAGCATTATGCAACGATTTCATTGCGGGGTAAATCTTAAACATTCTTGCTGTAACATTGTGTATCTATATAAAGTTGTCATTGATCAGGGTGTAACAGATTTATCAACAATTACTCACGACTCGCATACGTTCTTTTTATTTTGAATGTTAGTTTATTTACATAGTTAATTGGAAAAATGTAGGAATCAATCTGTTTTTGTGTAAATCTACAATAAGGCCCATTCACAAAGACTGTGTCACCATATGGATGACAGCATCTGTATAAAAACAAATATGCTTAACATAATTGTATTTCTCTTGTATAAACCAGCACGAAAACTATTTTGCTGTCTAAGGTGATATATTTCCATTGATAAACATGATATATAAAACTAAGCCTATGATGAAGTATAGGTATTAATATATCAGATATTTGATCCATGACAATTTAAACCTCAGATAAACTCTGTTTTATGATATAAACTTACACCTTTCATTGAAAAAAAGGAAATCAATTCAGAATGATCAATCATCATATCAAATATAATTTATTCTCCAGTTTTAAATGCCATAATTTTCGTAACATATTTTTAAAAATAATTATTGACATACGTTCCCCAAATCTTTGAATAAATGGTTCCAATTTCTAAACTTTTGTCCGTTTGAGACATTATTCAGAAATAGTGTACTCATCAGGAATAAGAATATTACTGAAAATTTCACCGTGTTACGATTGGTCGAAACGCGGTCACATGGCCTTCGACCTCGATGAATATCACATACCATGTAATGAAATATTCGCCTCATAATCATACAATAATTGTTCTCAATATGATAAACTTATATAACTTGTGTTCTGTCGGTGATATTTGTTTAAAAATCACTAAATTTATCAATTCTTCTTTAATTTATGTTTACAAAATGCAATATTTTAAAAATAGATAGATATCTTAAATTTAATTATTATTTTAAAAGTGAAATATTGCGTTCTTATTTGTATAAGATACGCCTGATTGTAAACAAAAGTAAAATGTAAACATGTAATAAACTATATGCATAAAGCCACTTGTATCAAACATTCTACCCCGTCACTTAATAACATTTATCGAACTACAAAGAAGGTAAATGATGAATAGTTTAAATTAAGAGATACTTTAAGTTAATGTCTGAAAATAGCAGTTACTTCTATAAAAGGTGATATAAAAATACTCAGTATTAAAAGACTATGAAATGGATGTAATAATTCTAGTTCAGGACGTTTTGGTGAGTCTTTATACTAGAAAGTCAATTTAAACCATTTTCTATAATAATAATAATAATAATAATAATAATAATAATAATAATAATAATAATAATAATAATAATAATAATAATAATAATAAATAATAATAAATAAAAAAAAAAATAAAAAAATAATGATGATAATAATGTTGATGATGATGATACTACGTCGTGTTTAGTGCTGTGCTTTGTAAATAATTTGTAGATACAGTCAAACCCCGTGAACAAATGCCACCCTAGACAGTGTCAAGTAATGGCTTTAAAAGACGAGTGATCTTTTAACATTGGTCTTCATTTGCAAGGTTATCTTTATTCAGAGGTGATCTTTGTCACAGGTGTGACTATATATTGCAGCTTTCGGCACTTTTTGTCAAACACCATCTTTTACTTAATTTGCTAACTCAAGGGATGCATATTATTGCATATCTAAACATTTTATCTAAGTTAATGGTATCAGTACTTATATCAAACTAAGTGATTGTTTTGTAAAGCAGTTTGTTTTAATTTGAAATGAGGTTAGCCTTTGATGTGAGAAAAATTATTGTATAAGCAATACATCTGTTTCAATAATTTCAAAACATCTCATTTAAAACCGTTCATATCTAATTTCTGTACTCGTAGCGTATATATTTTCTTACCTTTGCGTATCTATCGATCTAACTGCTGAATGAAATCGTTTCCTAATCTAACAGATCTAATTATCACGCTAACATCTGTGACAGGGTGGGCATTGCAGCACTGTGTCACGTTCAGTCACTGTTTCTTATAGTACTCACCCACACTTAATGACAGGATATTATGCTAAGTATTGTTGTAATTCCATTGTTTTCGGGAATAATCCTTCTCAGTAATAAAATTCACTAGGCGCGTTAATCATATTGTACCTGAAAACATTAAGAATAAGATCAGGGTGATTACATTATATGTTAGTAAACTTTGATCTATTTCATTGCTCTTCGAGCTGTTGCTCTTCTAATAAGTATATGTTTATTTCTCTTTTATTTGTTGCTTTATGGCAAGTTGTTTGCTTCAAACTTTGAATCGTTTAATTAATTTCCAAAAAATAAACCTTATTTAACTCGTTAATTGTATAAGATATGTTTTGGTTATGTAGTGGGCTCGAACATTGGATCAGCATGAAACGGGTACAGAGGATTGGCAGGACGGTGGTCCTTGTAGCGCTCCCGATGATCATCCTCTTTACCTTGATCAACATGTATCTATTCACGTTCTTCCAACATGGCCACTCCGAGACGATGGTCATTCTCAACGAAAAAGTGTACAACAAAAATAGTGACTCTAGTTCAAAGAATATACCTTCACTCCGTGATAAATACAGCGGGAGAGATGAATCCGTGAATATTAATAAAGTAGATGACGCTGAACAAGAACTAAGAAAAAAGTCCGGAAAAGGAGACACGCAATCACGTGACAATAAAGATGCTGATTCATTGAAATATGACGTAGTCAAAATGGAGGATGAATCTATAGATAGAATGATTGAGAAATTCAAAATGGCCAATGACAAGTATTTTATCCCAAACTATTTTTGGAACAGCAGCCTTTATGATTTAACAAGACGCTTCGGTGCTACTGCAAGACGAAATGCCAAAACTTTATCTGGTTATAACCGTTTAAAAAAGTAAGTTAAATTTTTTGTAAGAACCCATTTTATATTCCGTTGACATCGTATCTTTAACCTTTTTCCAACTTTGTTTGATACGTAAGCAGAGTAAATAGAAATCAGTAACATTACGATTGTGATACTCAAACTTTAGATAGGTCTATTTACCAAACGTTCTGGTTACCAAGAAATATTCCTTTTTAAACCGCTAGAAACCTTAAATGGTTGCCAAGGTTTCACAGAAATATTCCTTAAACCGCTAGTCAAATGTCCGCATATGAAATGCCGACTGTCTAACAGACATATATATGAAGTACAAAGTGTAAGACATGTATATGAGAAGAACGCTAATACAGAGAGTCTATACCGGAAATAGGCTTAGAATTTGACTTCTTTGAAAATTGTCAACCCAACATTCCTGTTTTATATACTGTATCTTTGGTTCTCTCAATTTCATTTACATTGTATATATCCTAAACGTTTGTTTCTTGCTTTCAAATTTGTCTTGTAAAACTAGTGTAATGATATATAGACTCCATAGCATCTTGTTCCTATTTACAATTATACATTACTTATATTCGCCCTCTGTTTTATCATCATCACAGATGTTCTTGCACTTGTGACCATAAAGTGCCATTCATCGGTTGACATAAAACAGCCATTTTGAAGTTTCAATGATCGACGTCATATGAACACAAGCTGAAGATGTAACCTACATTTCAAATATAATATATAACATTTAAATTCTGTTTAAACCGGTGCGGGGAGGGGGTAACTTGCATGATTCAAACTTCTCCATGAACAATCTCAGTCGAACCAAATTTATTTTTTCAATTTTGTCATAATGGGCGACAGTTTCTTTCCTTACCACCATCTCATGTAATAAAGATTATCTTATTGAATTATAAGGGTATCTAATTAAAAGGGACACCACATATTTCTTTTACATTACGGGAGTGGAAATATTTTCCTAAATTTGTGTACCACTTGATATAGGTCTGAACCAATAACTGGTGTGGAAATTTTCAGAATATTCCGTCCCTCCCGTTTTTCCAGATTAATGATTTTAATGCGCAAAATGACCCCAGAATTGGAAAGCGTTGCAACGGTCTTAACTCAAATAGGGCTCAGAATCGCAATACCTATTGTACATTAAATTCTGAATATATTTCCATACTTAATATTATCTAAAGATTTTTCCATTTTAAGTGTTTCACTTGACCTCTTTAAAAAATCAAATCATATATTTTTAGGCGTTATGACGTCAGTGAAGCTCCTGTGTAAGATACAAAATAATATAATTTTTGATGATTATATCTTATTCACAGTTCTAGTGGTAAATTACCGGCGTGGAAGCTTTTTCACAGAAACATCCGCCAGTTTTCTCTGTACGACCCCGATGATTTAAACTTGTATAAAATGTTACTAGATATGGCAACCCTGCCCATAGTTGAAGCCGGTAAGTGATATATATTACTGATGTCTTATTAGAAAATTTACTGGTGGCGGTTGCGTAAGTAGATCACGGAAGTATTCACCAGAGCACAGTTCAGCTACCGCATCTTTCCTGGGCAGACTGTCTAGCAGTTTACCAGTACTTGTTGCATTCTATTTCACAAGGAACTGATAATTTCTGTACATGCCAGAGCAAAGGTACAGCTAGTACGAACAACCGTAGAAAATATTTCATGATTAATCAAAAGTGATCTGCACCGTCCGGAATTCGAACCGGGTCGCCCGATTGGCCAACGCTCTCAATATTCGTTGTCATAACATTGTGAATATTCTCCTTGTTATTTTGCTTTCTTTATAAGTAATCACTGTTTTTGATAATATTTTATAAGGCAATACTGAAAGAATTGAACAATCTATGAGCGTCATAGAAAAAATATCTGATTATGAAGCGCAAAATAAACGGTTTGTTCTAAGTCTAAAGAAAAAGACGTTTTAAAAACAAGATGGCGACAGGGGTGACTCACTAACAATGGTACCTTTATTTAAATTTCTCAAAATGAGAAACTGTTTAAGGATAACGTGATATTTATTCATGAGCCGACATCCGAGCAAAAAGCAGTGATCCCCCCAATCTGCCAAGGGAGGTAATCACTGAGAGGAGTTTGCAAAAAAGAATGTATCTACATATATTGCAGAGGAAAATACGGGAGGAACTCAGCTTAAAATCACAGTACGGTTTAGCAATGAAGGCAGAGCGGTTGTTAAGTTCATGAGGTTAGTTTATTTGTAAACTTTTGTAAGTGATACGTTATAAATACAATATGTGCGACATCGGCAACGAAAAATGTTAATGTGTCTAAACATTCAGATAAAAAACAGTACTCCTTGTATAGAAACATCAGGCTTGCATTAAGCATTAAATGGTATAAAGATACGGTCTTTTTACATTATTAAAACTGTTCTTGAAGACGTAAGCACGGCCATATGTATCTAAAAGTGCATACAATGTATGAACTGAATTCATGTATTGTAGTTAAGTACTCATTTATCTGGTTAAAGAGGCCTTCAGCTTTTATTTTTTTTTTTGTTGGGAAAACAATTCTGTGTTGTTCCAAACTAAGAATTTTAGTAATTTTATCTTGAAAAAGTGCGTCATATCACTATTATGCCTACTTCAAAACAACGTCACGAGAGTTATTTATAACACGGCAGTGACGTTCGTGTCTAAAAATAGAATGTCCCCGTCCGCTTTACTAATTTAAATATAGAGAGCGGACTGGTAAATAAGAGGTATGTAGGGGTTTTCTTATTGTTTATATATTTTATCACTGGCAAACATTTTCCACCTTAAATTTAATTTATTAACTATTTATCTAAAAATAACATACATGTATATTGAACCTTTCGAAAAGCTGAAGGCCGCTTTAAAGGCAAGCATTTCAATAATAACATAACTGTATTGCTTACTCAAAATAACTGGTCTAATCATTATTGTTCAAGTATTTATGTACACCGGGGACAATTATCACATTTATTCAGTATTTAAATATTGTTGAATTATTAACAATGCCGTTAATTATGAGAGGTGTTTACAGGTATCCTAGAGAAGTTGAGGCGGACGAGAATCGTTATATATTTGATGACATAGAAAGACATATTGCAGAGATTGCCGCCTTTCATCTGGACAAGTAAATTATTTGATCATATATTACTTATCACAAGCTGTTTACAGCATGTTTAAACCTACATGCCTCCAGATGAGCCAAATATATTTCAAGAAAATCCAACTTGAGATCTTTTTTAATGTACTATGATTTTAAGAAAAGCGTGTGGCGCCGTTATATGTCGCAACGCCGCTAAATGTCGCACTTGACGCTAAATGTCGCACCATTGCCGCTAAATGTCGCAACCGCCGCTAAAAGTCGCAAAATTGTCTACCGTTAAATGTCGCAACTGTGACGCTAAATGTCGCACGAATTTGCCTTACCGTTAAATGTCGCAGCACTACCGTTAAATGTCGCAAGATGAAATTCATGTTAAAATCATGATTTAAAGTAGTATTATATTACTTTTTAACGCTATCATAGTCATTTTTATTGTAATTGCAATTACACAAAAGTGTATTTGCTTTAATTGTTTACTTTTATGAACCTAAATATCGAGGTTTTGAGCTGCTATAAAATGTAATCTTGACGCTAGAAAGCGTATTCTAGAAAGATACAATTGATATTTAATTCTCAATAGAAAAGTATTTTTCCTTTGTCTCCCTTTTTCATTTATTACCCTGATTGACAACATCTTAAAGGTATTATGACATCGTCGCTATCAGAATTCGGTTTATTTGGTAATTTCATTGATTTAATAACCTTTTTTTCTGGCCAATACTAACAGTAATAAAGTCATACACGGGCGATTTATCAAACCGAGCCTGCAACATTTTCTATTTTGACGTTTTGGACTTTCTTTATGGGTTCTTTTTCTCTGTTTTATCCATGACTGATGTTCCTCAACACACCTCTGAACAGCTTATGCATTCAAGGAAAAATATAGAACTCAAATCAACTGACCCCTAATCTAAAGGACGAAGACCACGTTATCATCCTATCAAATACAAGAGGGCAATGATGGCCCTGAGGTCGCTCACCTGTATATAGCATCCACCCTCCCCCCGACAGGGCCAATTTTAACCCAAGGGCTTTTATTTGAACAAACTTGGTAGACACCCATAAGGAGATGTTTCATGCTAACCATCTAAGCTCTAACTCATTGGGTTTAAAAAAAAAGATTTTTTAAGTTTTTACTATACACATATAGTTAAAAACAATGACACCCCTGGGGCGGGGCCAGTTTTGACCCCAGGGCTTTTATTTTAACAATCTTTGTAGACACTTACTAGAAGATGTTAAATGCTTAATATCTAAACTCTAGCTATTTGGATTTTTTAAAAGAAGATTTTTAAGTTTTTGCTATACACATATAAGGAAAATCAATGACCCCCACGTGGGGCCAATTTTGACCCCAGTGCTTTTATTTGAACGAACTTTGTAGACACTCACTAGAAGATGTTTCATGCTTAATATCTAAACTCTAGCTTTTTGGGTTTTTTCAAAGAAGATTTTTTAAGTTTTTGCTATACACATATAAGGAAAATCAATGACCCACGGGGCGGCGGCCAATTTTGACCCCAGGGCTTTTATTTGAACAAACTTGGTAGACACCCATTAGAACATGTTTCATGCTAAATATCTTAGCTCTAGCTTTTTGAGTTCTTTAAAAGAAGATTTTTTAAGCTTTTACTATATGCATATAGGGAAAATCAATGACACCCTGGGGCGGGGCCAATTTTGACCCCGGGGCTTTTATTTGTACAAACTTGGTAGACACTCATTAGAAGATGTTTCATGCTAAATATCTTAGCTCTAGCTCTTTGGGTTCTTTAAAAGAAGATTTTTAAGTTTTTACTATATGCATATAGGGAAATCAATGACCCCCTGGGGCGGGGCCAATTTTGACCCCCAGGACTTTTATTTGAACAAACTTGGTAGACACTTACTAGAAGATGTTTCATGCCAAATATCTAAGCTCTAGCTCTAAGGGTTTTTTTAAAAAGAAGATATTTAAAGTTTTTTCTTTCGGTTGCCATGGCAACCAGAGTTCTGCATAGAATTAACTTCTTTGAACAATTTTTAAAGATGACCACCAAAGGAACATTCCTGTTAAGTTTGGATGAAATTGGCTTAGTGGTTTATGAGGAGATGTCATTTAAAGTAAAAGTTTACGGACAGACGGACGGACGACGGACGTACGCCGGACGAAAAGCGATCACAAATATTCACCCTGTCACTTTGTGACAGGTGAGCTAATAAAAACATCAGAAAAAAGGCTGTATAAGCAAATGTGTAAAAATCTATTATTTGCATCCTTGACATTAAATCACTGATTCTATCTCAATCAAAAGGAAGAATATCATGCAAGTTATCTTTCTACCAAATATGAAATACATTTGTCAATAAATAAAGAATGTATGTGCTAAAGTACAAAAATCTATTTATAGCACTTGTGACCTTGACCCACTGATCCCTACCTCAATCAAAAGACAATTACCATGCAAGTTATCTTCCTACCAAAATATGAAATATATTTGTCAATAAATAAAGGCTGTAAAATGTAAAATTCTATTTTTAGAACTGGTGACCTTGACCCAACTTAACACTAACTCCATCCAAAGGAGGAAACCTTAACTTTATATTCCTACCGAATATAAAATACGTCTGTCAATAGTATAATGTTAAAACACCTGTAAAATCTATTTTCGACATTGGTGACTTTGATCTTGACCCACATGACCCCTATCTAAACCCATAGGAAGAGGACCTCCCTTTGAATGTTTGTATTAAATATGAAATACATTAACTTAAAAATAAAGGCTTAATGAGCTAAAATGTTTCAAAAAATTTTCACACCAGTGACATTGACCTAAGAGACCCCTTACTCCACAAAAATAAGAGGACAATTATATAAGTATCCACCTACCAAATATGGAAGATATCATTAAATAAATTAAATTTTAGATAAATTCAACTTACCGGAATAGGTTCACCATACAAGGCCCTATTTCCAAAGTGAAAAAAGGGAAATATCTGGGAAAATGGATGGCACAGTTATAAACCTTGTCAATATCATGTTCTTTCTATCAATAAGTAAGTGTGGAAATTATGAAGCCATTAATATAGACAGAACTTAACATAAATCCAATTTGCCGGCTAAGGTTAAAGATATTCATCTTCAAACTGTTTAAAAGGGCAATAACTTGGTTAAAATGGAAACCATAATTATGTAACTTGCCTAAATCAAGTAAATTGCAAATTACGAGGTAGAACTTAAGAAAAATCCAGCTTCCCTTTTAGGTTAACCGCGTACGGACAGATAGACAGACGGACGGACGGACGGTTGAATTACTTTTGAATTAAGTTGAAGCCCGACTGCCAGCTTTTCAGCTAAGTTCAGCGTCCTAGAGGTAGAAGCGTTTTTTTATAATCATACATGTCCTTTTGCATGGCTTTACTGTATTTAAAATCGTTTCCATATTTATAATATATGTCACTAACTTTAAGCTTCTTGACTGCCGACATTAGGCTGTTAGATTGACAACTTACTTAAGGTTGAAAGACTGATATCGATAGACTGTTAGAATATCTGGCTGCCGCCTCAAAATGCTAGGCTGCCGACGTTAGTCTTCTAGGGCGTTAGGCAAACTCCTAAGGCCCAGGTCGTCAGCAACTTAGGCTTCCTCTTCCGACTGCGAGGCAATTTGCCTCCTCAGTCTACTAGGCCATCATTCTGCCATCTCAGGCAGCAAGGTCGTTAGGCTGTCTCTTCTGCCAATTTTACAGACATGATTATACAAAACTATTTATAGAACAATGCCAATTTTGCAGTTTCATACAAAAGGTAGACAATTGTATAATTGCATAAGATCAGCTAAAAATCGAACGCAAAACAATAAAGATGACAAATTGTAGCGCAGTTCCATATATAATAAAATCACTCGCTTTCAAACAGACATAATTCGTCTTGAGTAAGTAGATTTAATTGATATAATACAACAATAAAACTTGAGTTCAACATAAAATTACATCTTGCGACATTTAACGGTAGTGTTGCGACATTTAACAGTAAGGCAAATTCGTGCGACATTTAGCGTTACAGTTGCGACATTTAACGGTAGACAATTTTGCGACTTTTAGCGGCGGTTGCGACATTTAGCGGCAATGGTGCGACATTTAGCGTAAAGTGCGACATTTAGCGGCAATGGTGCGACATATAACGGCGCCACACAAAGCGAAAAGATTCAAGATTTAAGTAATCATTTACATGGAATTTATGCCTGATTTTTCAGTATTTATCACCATATTTCTACTGCGTGACTAACGCAATAACGGCTATCTTTGCTTATTTTCTTACCTCTGTTTGGTAATTTCCGTGAATCGTAAGTGCCATTTGCAATGTGTAAATTACTTTCTGTGTTGACTTTACAATATTTTACTTTAGAATACAATTTCAAAATTTTCATGAATTTTAGAATTAACCTGGAAGCATTCTGTTTTAATTCGCGAGTCTTATTTACAAATATTGTATGGTTCCTTTCAGTGTGAAGTAGTGTGGATTCAAACTTTATTTATCCTGATTACTAGTAAATTATTATCAAATGACGCCAGGGTAAATAAGTTCTACAGTCAATTTATTTGATTGTAAATCAGTTATTTTGATAATTGCTAACCAAGACTTACTTCACATGCAAAAATAGCTTCTACAAATGAACTCTTAACAGTACGGTACCAGATAAAAAACACGGTTCATGGTTTACTAAGTGCCACCTTATTTTCTATATATAATTCTAAAAAGACATTGTTGTCAGTCAAAACATTAATTTATTCCAGCAATTAGTATATGTTATTAAAAAGGTAATAAATTCATTTGAACTATGTTTCAGAATTTTGGGATTTTATCGAGTACCCCCAACCATCGGTAGATGGTTCAATATTACGGCCGACCTAGAGCCAATTCTACCGAAATCAATCGCAGATACCCTGTTTAAATCCCCAGGTATGTTTTATCTCGTATGTCAAAGTTAACTATCAATATTGTATAAAATTTCAGGATTTAATTTGTAATATTAATCTTCGTTCAAACTTTTATGTGACATAATATACATGTATATAACACGTGTTCATGAAATTAAATCTTTGGCATTCTCGGCTTAACTAGAAAACCATTTTCTTTAATTTACAGCCGGAAATTTGTGCTTCTTTGGTGAATGTGATTATTACTGTGATAGTGCGCATGCGTTTTGTGGACATCCGGATATGATTGAAGGTTCTGTACAGAGTTACCTCCCCTCTAGAAATATTGCAAAAAGAAGATCTTGGTATCAACCATGGAGACGGTCATACAGGTTTTATATAATTTATTTTCTTTTGTATTGGTAAATCTCTTTCACGGTTCTTTGTCCAAAATATATACGAGGGATAATCCAGAATTACTCAGATTTTGTTTATAATTCTGATAAATTTCACGTTTTCTTTAATAACTTCGTACCTGCGCAAAGTTTGATTTCTCGTTACTTTAATACAAAATATAATTGATTCAATGGCACCCAGTTCCATATATTTATATTTTCGTGCCCTGTTATAGTAACAAAAAGTTATTCACCACCAGTTTTTGCATTTATTGCCTTTTGCTGGTAAAGGCAGTTATAGTACTTTATTATTTTGTATAGAATTCAAAATACAACTTTGTTTACAGTTTGCTACTTCAATGACAAATAATTTCCTATTTGGTGCTACTTTTTTCATGTGATAAGCATCTAAAATGCTCTAAAACCATTCTTTGAACATTATAAAACTCATGTTTGACATTTCTAAAGAATTAAAAAAATATAGATAATGTGCCTTTAATTTACTTTTATTTTTGTTTTTGATTGGCAATTTAAGTATGGCATTTTTTCCTTTGTAGTAAATTTCATAAAGCATATTGGGAGGAGAATGACGATCTGTGTGACAGTATCCGACACGAATCACCGTTCAATAACGGCAAACTTTTACTGGATATGGTCGACTCTCACACCTTTGATTTTCTAACAGGTATTATAAAAATATACAATCATTTGAGCCGCGTCACGACAAAACCAACGTAATGCGTTTGCGACCAGCATGGATCCAGACCAGCCTGTGCATCGGCGCAGTCTGATCAGGATCCATGCTGTTCGCTTACCAACTCTATTACAAGTAGAGAAACTGATAGCGAACAGCATGGATCCTGATCAGACTGCGCGGATGCGCAGGCTGGTCTGGATCCATGCTGGTCGCAAACGCATTACGTTGTTTTTGTCGTGACGCGGCTCATTTGTTTTTTCACTGTTCGTTTTCTCTATAAAGTAACTTATATGAAGTGGTTGGCTGTTTTAGTAAAGGTAATTAATCTAGGAAAACTTGTTTACAATTTTCCAACAGTTGTATGACTGAAATATATTAAAACTGTCGTAAATTCAACGAAACAAACAAAATAATGAAGAAAAAAAACAACAACAACAACAAAAAAAAACAACAACAAAAAACAACAACTTAATGTTTACAACTGAGCGAAATCCTCCTATATCTTATTCATATTATTTCACAATTAATTAATTGCCATATTGATTGCTTATATATCAAGCAAAATGAAATATGCATATATTTAATACATGATGCGTTAATACAGGATTAAATTTAGTTTCATTGAACTATTCAAAAACTATATTTTACCTTATTACAATGCCACTATAAATGTTTTATTAGATTTAGAGTTCCAAGCTTGTAATGTTTAGCTACCATATCAATGGTTGTATAAATTAATAAATATTGTATATAGTCAATACTTAGAATTAACTGTATATAGTCAATACTTAGAATTAACTGGCCGTTCATAGTTATATCATCGATTAATCGAGATGTGACTTGTTAATATTAATATACAAACCATGTTGAACTTGGAGTAAGTATATAAACAGGAAATTAATGTATTGGGTCCTGATGTATCAATAATTTCTGTTTGATTGATGCCACATTTGCATTTGAACGTTCATATTACGACGTACAAGCTTTTTAAACCCATAACCTGCTCGATCCGGAAGTGCTCAGTCTTCCTCACGAGCCAGGTCAGCCGGCACATCCATACAGTGTGACCAGACCCCAAGGTTACAAAACCTTTTTGAGATCAAGCTCAAATCTCGGGATTTTCATAGGTCAATTCACATTTTATGCTTGTTTCTGACCAATCAAATATCAGAGATCTGAGTTTGAGATTAGAAAATTTCTTTATAACCTTGGCCCCAGGCTCTGTAATGTTGGCTTCCAACTTCAAATGTTCATTTTGATATCCCAAAAATTGATAATGGGCATGGCAAGAACTGAAAGGTTAACGAGTCCATTACACAGATTCTGCAGGTTAAGGGTTAAAATCTCTGATACTGGTTAAAATAGCAAAACTACAGGTCTGCAGTAATCTTATGAGTGGCGGCTTGGCCAAGTGGTTTAAGCATCGCTGGTTGTGTGGTTTCGGACCCTGTCAGGGGCAAGCAGTTGTTTCCTTGAGCAAGAAACTTTACTTTCATTGCAAAGTACTGGTTGGCTTAAGAGAACAAATTCGAGTGTGTTTCAATAAGCTTATAGCTTCTAACACAATCGACCTAAAATAAATTTGTATAAACTATACTAAATAAGCTTGTGCGAGATATTTCTCACGTTACATAATTCAGCGCTATTAATGGAAATATAACGCACGGAGGTTGAAGATCAAGTGTTTCAAAACACAGAGATACTCCCTATTATACACGGACAGATATAAATATATATATATATATACGAGGGTTGTTCAAAAAGTAATAGGACTGCAGCTCTACTGTTCACATTTTTAAATTTACGTTCAAAATTTTACATGAGACAAATATCGGAACATGTTCTCTATATACAGTGAAAAAATCAAAACAAAATGTAAACAAATGAAATTTCTGTGAAGTTTTCAAATGACAAGGGGTTCGAAACACGGCGCACGCTAACAATACAATAATTGACGTTCATGACGTCGTAAAATAAATCGAAATTGTATTCTAACACTCACGTGATTTTGTCACTATAGACAAAGAAGGACAAAAACTGGTGTTAAACGGACAATAAACACCGGTTAGGGACTACTTGAATATGCGCTGTTATGTTTTCACCCTCGATTGTATAGTTTACAAAGCATTTTAAAGCAACAATAAAAAACATTTTTATTTATATTTTCAGTTCTTAAAATGTTTTCTTTTCAAACCATACCGAAATAATATCTCACATACACTAACGCCACCTATTAGATCCATGTCAGTTAATAAATATTTTGACAAAACGGCGCCAACCGTAAGCAGCGTAATGACGTCATCCTAAGTAAACAACTCATTTATAAACAAGCTGACGTTATTTCATACATACAAGAATGATAAATGGGGCACTGATGTAAACACAATACGACGTAAGTTTTTATTGTTGAAAACTTGATAAATTACGTTTTTTTTTCTTATTATTTCTTTTGTTTAATAATTTCTATAACTTCGCAACAGTAGGGTGCGGAAATCGAACAGCGTTATACGAAAATCGGCACCGGAAGTTATTTCCGCTTGAAAAATAACATTAGTGATTTTCCTTATTTCATCGTGTTAGAATCGAAATAACATCGGCCTGAGAGGTGTATATCGGCTATTTAACACCGGTTTTGTCGTTTTGATGCGACAAAATTAACCACTCAGGCCTACGGCCTTCGTGGTCAATTCATACGCATCAAAACTCCAAACCGGTGTTAAATAGCCGATATACACCTCTCAGGCCGATGTTATTTCTTAAATAAGCGTCATTCTTTCTGAAAGTAGTCTCTAGGTGTATGAGTCATGTAACTTTTACTTTGCCCCATAAATGGAGATGAAGCAAGAAAAAAAGCGATCACATTCTCGTTCCACCGTTTCAAAAAAAAAAATTAAAAAAAATAAATGCCCGATAGCCAGCCATTCTCCTGGTTTTCTCGTGTTTTTTAGTAACCTTGGAACTCAATAGGACTGAAAATGTTAAAGCAAAAGCAATTTATTTTATTAATTTACTCATGTCATCGTATGTTTTTAAAACAATACGATTATATACAGAACAATAAAGATATTTCTCAATTGAAAAGTATCCTTTTCTACTTAGCACAGTCTATCGTTTATTAAAGCAAGTTTTCGGAAACACTACTAATTATTACCGTTAACTATTACATTAATTCATTGATTACGCGTATATTAAATACAAATACAGTTAAATACAATAAAATAGTGTTCATAACAAATGTCTTATTTACAATCCTTTGGTTAAAACTGAATAAGTAGACCCGTAGCAGATACAAACAACGATAAACAGTTCGCGTACCGTTTACCGTGGATTCTTTTGTAGCGCTTTTGCAATTGACGTCACTAACGTCCCGTCAATTTTCAACTTTCATCCTCGCCCTTTCTCGTAAGTGATCTTGTATTTGCAGTTTTTGAATTGCTTGTGCCAGCTGAAAACAGGTGTCCTGATAATTGTCCTCAGTTTATTTAATCATTTTGTGTGTATCTGAATGATTATAGTCAATCTGTTGGCAAAATTCAAAGATGGCACACATTTTCTGTTTGTTAACAAATGTCATATTTCTACAACAAACGCTATGACCGCTGCTGTTCAAAACTTAATAAATAGGCCATTTCATGTCCGAATGACGTCAAGTTTGGACATAATGTCACATAAATATATTTCAACGTATTGATGGAATACAGGGGAAAACAAATAGTAATTTATGAATAAATGAGAAGTAGAACTTAGCTCCAATAACTATATTTATGTGCTGCGCCGGGTGCGTGTTACCATGGTTATTCAATAGCAAAGGAAAAGCGCGTTTAGCACAATAGATTTAAAAACTTATGTTTGATTTGTAGAAAACATTTTACAATTGCTGTACATATGAAAATATTTTAAATTGAATGAAATTTGAATACACAAGACTCCCAGTCCTATTACTTTTTGAACAACCCTCGTATTATAACATTATGATAATGTCAGTCATGTACTCATGCATTAATTCTCTTTTGTTTTCTAGGAAATAAAGATCGCCATAGTTTTGCAACTTTTAAAGAATATGGAAATTATACGTTCCCTATAATGTATGATAACGGCCGAGGGTAAGTAAAACTTTTACAATAAAGCTGCGCTGAGTTATACAGAAGTCTGAAATAATCTAAACATTAATATTAAGTTTTGATGGAGCAATATTAATCTTTCAAATTGTTGTATTCAGAAACCAAGAATGGCTTGCATGTCCCGCGTTGAATTTATTTTCCATGTTTTTTCAGTGTTATCACCATATATCAGTACCCTTGTGGTTTTAATGTTTGAGGCATAAGCATTGCCCCGCTTGATTGTTTAAGACGATTGAATGTGTTTGAATTACTGGAGTATATACTTCTTTTTAAGCTCCAAGAGGTGAGGTGGTTTTGACCCCTGGTGTTGCTTTCAAGTTTGTAACACCGAAGATGGCCAAAATCATCTTTCAGTCCCAAACCGCCGGGACTGAAAGCCATAACCACCGGGCACTGAAAGCCCAAACCACCGGACACTTAAAGCCCTCGTAGAAATTCTGTTGACAACCATTTTGAAATCTTAATGTCATGTGATTTTTTTTTATTTGCAGATTCGGCCGACAAACCTATGACGCCATGTCTATCTTAGCACCTTTAAAAAATGTTGTGTGTGATTCGTAAATCGACATTGTTAAAATACCTGAAACTTTATATAGGTCCGGAGAGACTCAGTGCTTTGATGGAGAAAAACTTTAGAATCCGACCCCATAGCACCAGTGTTGATTAAACCCCATCTTAATGCACTTGATAGACGGTTAATAAAAATTCTGCAAATAGTGGCGGACTGTGTAGACAGATTTCCGGTTAAATCTGTAGTCATTTTCGACAGATTTTGAGATAGTCAATTTAAATTTTCTTTTGGTGGTCGGTGTATCTTTTATAGTTTTTTCTTAGAATGTTGATAAGCGGTCAAAGAATTCTGAACTGTAGAGGTAAACATTTTATGGAGAAGACACTGGTAATTTACGATGACAAACTATTGAATACAAAACAAAGGCTGTGATTTGACAGTGATTAAGGTGGCACTTCATTTTCACAAAAGTAAAGCAAATCGTTCCGAAATGTGTTAAAATGACAAACTTAGATAATCATTTGACAATCACGATTTTTTATTATGATAGACAGTAAATAAGAACATCGTTTGATAATTGAACACAACCAGTACCAGAGCAGACGACAAGACTCCAGAACTTGAGGGAAAGGGGGAGACTAGTCTGCAAGGGACTAAAAGGTTTCCCTAATTAAAAGATATCACAAGGCATAAAGACCGTGTGATTAGACTGCTCATCGTTATAGAAATAGTATTTCATTGATTGTTATGATCACGAATTTATCTACGAGAAAGGACGAGAAATGACGTGTAATGATACAATGTCACGGTTCAGATCTGTTCACTATATAGGGGAGAAAATGTGTAAGCGGCCGGATAGCTCAGTCGGTAGAGCCGCGTAACGGTATTCCGAAGGGCTCGGGTTCGAGTCCCGGTCAGGCTGCACATTTTTCTCACCCTGTGACATTTGGCGCCCAACGGGGGACCGTGAACGGGGGACCGTGACTGATATAGCTCAGAGTTTAATTTACATTGCTCTGTAACTCTGTGAAATTCGAGGTCGAATTTCAATATAGCAGGGGAGTATGTCACGGTTCAGAACTGTTCACTATATAGGGGAGAAGATTTGTAAGCGGCCGGATAGCTCAGTCGGTAGAGCCGCGGAACGGTATTCCGAAGGTCTCGGGTTCGAGTCCCGGTCAGGCTGCACATTTTTCTCACCCTGTGACACAATATGAGTAGATGATGATGCATGACACAGAGTTACAGAGCAATAAGTGCAGGAGTATTGTATAAAACATGTTTGGATATATGTGTGCTGTGTATTAGTTGTCCTATTATGTTACTTGTTGAAAATGAGATGTTTTAAGTGTCAGGTTCGCTCAGTTTCCATATATTAAGTCTTCCATATCACAGTGGCATCTTTCTCCATGGCAATATTAGTTATAAAAAACCCGTGCAGGTTTTTAACCGTATGATAAACCCCAATCTTTTTAGCAAAAAATGTATAAAAGGCTATAACCCCGTCAAAGTAAAATTTTAAAATTTACTTTTCTGTATTATTTTTTGTTTTAAAAAGATTTACCATTAAAAGAAGGGTTTCTGCTTTTCATTTGGGTAAGAAGTTCATATTTTATTACAAGAATCAATTAGAAAAATTTTATTTTTTTTATAACGGAAATTTTCGAAATGAATTCTTTAAAAGTTTGTAAAGGTTATATGACCCTATATAAAGGTTATTTTCAAACAACCCCCCCTTTACGAATGGGTATTATAAAAAAAGTTTTTTATATTTTGCACGATGGCAAAGAAAAAAGGCTTACAAAGTGCAGATTATAAGATGGAAAGAACGTTTTTGCAATTATTAAATA